TCGGCCCTGACCGGCTGGAGCCGATTCCGTAGTCCTCTCGAGAGACGCACGCAGACAGCCACCAGCCCCGCGCCTTTCCCTCCACCAGTCGGGCCAGCTGGAGCCAATGCGTGATGTTGGGGACGCGTTTGTTCCGAGGCCCGATTTGGCCCCCTGCCTCGTGGCTCCAGGGGCGGGAGGCCAATTTCCTAGGTTGCAAACGCCGGGTGGGTTATTTCTAGGCTGCCTTGCAATCTGAATAAAGCGTCTGGTTCTCTCTACGACGCGAAGCCTTCCCGGGGTGAGCAGGGACCTACGGCCTTGCGGTGGGTTCAGGCCAGGGACCTAAGGAAGGGTCGCGCCCTGCTCCTTCGCAGCTTTCGGCCGCCACAGCCTGAGGGACGCGAGGTGGGGGCGCTGTTGTATGAGCAAATCTTCCAGGACTGTCCCCTTTCCATCTCTCTCTATTCAACCGACTGGGGCCTAGATAAGCGCAAAAAATGTTCAAGTCGCCGCCCAGAGCTGCGGGCGGATTCTGGCCCCGAGGAGCTGGGGAGAGAAAAGGGACCCGGGCAAGAGATAAGGAAATCGCTCCTTTCCTTCGGCACTGTCGCTTTTGATCGAGCCCACGCCCCTTCCCCGCCGAGCTCGGCCGAGGTTCGCAGCTCCCCAGCCGAACCGGGACCAGCCGAACCGGGTTTTGTGCACCCAGGTAGGCCGGCAGGTGCGCGCCCGCAGCCACCCGCTGCGTCGCTCTTACCCCCCCCCAAGACGAACAAAAGACAAAAGCCTGGGGTTGTACCCTTGCAGAGGCTGAAGGCCTTGAGCTGCTGAGGAGATTCCAGGGCTGGGCCATCTAGGAGCCCGGAAGATGCCTCCAGGCGCGGCCTGAGGAAGGCGCGGGCGACCTCTGAGTGTCCCGGTAACGTGTGCCTTTGTTCCCCCACCCAGGTAAAAATTTGGTTTCAGAACAAAAGATCCAAGATCAAGAAGATCATGAAAAACGGGGAGATGCCCCCGGAGCACAGCCCCAGCTCCAGCGATCCTATGGCTTGTAACTCCCCGCAGTCGCCAGCGGTGTGGGAGCCCCAGGGGTCATCCCGCTCTCTCAGCCACCACCCTCACGCCCACCCTCCGACCTCCAACCAGTCTCCCGCGTCCAGCTACCTGGAGAACTCCGCTTCCTGGTACCCAAGCGCAGCCACCTCAATCAATTCTCACCTGCCGCCGCCCGGCTCCTTACAGCACCCGCTGGCCCTGGCCTCCGGGACGCTCTATTAGGTGGGCTGCTCTCCTGCGTGCTCCTTTTTGGGACTACTGTTTTGCCGTTTTAGAAAATCATAAAAGAAAGGAATTCATATGGGGAAGTTTGGAAAATGGAAACAGAAAGATTCATGTGTAAAGCTTTTTTTTTTTTTGCATGTAAGTTATTGCATTCAAAGGACCGCTCTCCCCGTTTTTTACAAACGAACTTTTTTGCGCAACTGTGGACACTATCAAAGGTGCCTTGAAATCTATGACCTCAACTTTTCAAAAGACTTTTTTTCAATGTTATTTTAGCCATGTAAATAAGTGTAGATAGAGGAATTAAACTGTATATTCTGGATAAATAAAATTATTTCGACCACGAAAACAGAATGTTTCTGAAAGCTGCTTTTTGTCCCAAGAGAACTTGCTAGTGAAGTTTTAAGACAAATTCTATAGAGATTACAAGAAAGCAAAAAAGAAAATGGAAACAGGGCGCTACATGGCTGGAGAACTGTGTCTGTCGGATGCTCGAGTTTCAGTCTATATGCTTATGTGGCCTGTCACATAATATAAATTTAGGTGTTTTTTTGGCCTGACCACAAAACTCAGATAGATAATGTTAAGTTTAACCCAAAATTGTTTCAGGTAGAAAGTAATGCTGGAATTGAAACATATCTTTCCCAACCTACCTGCACGTGAGTAAGAAGGTAACATAAATCCCTCAATAAACCCTCTGAATTCTAAGTGCAAAGCAATTATCCTGGTGGACTGCCCCCCCCACTCTGTGTATTGCCAGAGCAATTAGACAAATGACATTGCCTTCAAAAAGAGCTTCCAGAGATTTGAAATGCAAAGGAAAGAAAAGAAATAGAAATCTCTTCTTCCCGCCCTATCTCATTTTTTTTAAATCTGAAATGTTTAGGGTTTGGCAAATGGTAAAGCCCTAAGCCCCTTTTGTGTATCATTAGAAATGTGTCCGAGATCCTTCAGAAAGAGGAAGACACCGCAGGGATGGAGAACAAAGATAGATCTAAATCAGTGTGGGTGTGTGGGGGGGTACTTCTTCATCCCCCAAGACAGGGTATTGCCAAGAGAGGGAACTTTCAGACAAGGGAGATGAATGAATGTATTGTAGCCTTGTATTGATTTCATTTTGTGTGCAATACTGCTCTTAATATAATATCTTTGGCCTTTGTTGTCTTTATCCTGCTATGGTTTCCCCCCACCAAAAAAAGGAGCTCCCTCTGCTTTGATTTTACATAGAACAGTGGAGAGGCAGGTTATAAGCCATGGGGGAATGCAATCTGTTTGTTGGGATTTCTTCTTTTAGGCAGACATGAAGATTTGATATAACTGTGGCCTATATTCTAATCTTTCCCCTCATGTCCCACTTGGAGATATCCACAATGTGAAAAGAGCTAGAGCTCGGGTCCAGAGCTGTGTCCTGAGGCCTAAAGTGAAGGCATCTTTTTGGCTGTCCTTTAGTCGTGTGACTCTATTTCCTTAGGATACCAAGGGAATTGTGTGATGGAAATTACAAGTTGCAAGTGAAATATTTCACATCTAGGAAATCAGCAGCAATAAATGTGACAGGAGTCTTCTTAAGGGTGTGGGGGGATCAGAACATAAAAAAATTACATCCTGTCATCTGAGGATTTCTGAGAAGGCTCTTTCCGGGTTAAGAGACTAAACCTGTAAAGGCGATCTGTGTGCCCAGAGGGGGATTTACCTGTGTTCTCTCTTCTTTTCTTCTCTCCCCACAGCCAGCACTTCCATCTCCTCTATTTCTCCCTCCTCTTCCTTTTTTCTTTCTCTGCAGAAAGGACAAGTCCATAGTTTGGAATGACTTGAGCCTTCAGGAGCATATCCGACAGGCCCAGGGCAGCACACCACTGTGCCCTTGGGTGGACCGCTACTTTTTCACCACACCCAGTGCTCCATCAGCCTCATCTCCCAGTTGCCCTAAGCTTGGCTGCAGTGGTCGTTTCTTGGAAGACAATGTCCAATGGCCAGGCACCTGAGGTGGGGGTGACCAGGTGAGGCTGGTGCTGCATTGCACGCTCTGCACTAAGCTGAGAGTAGGATGGGGGTGTGAGAGTATCGACTTCCTGCTTTTCTTTCTTTGCTTCAAGGATTTTGAAGTCTCCATTACACCAAAGCCCTGGCTTTCTTTCTTGTGACTAGGGCTGGGAAAAAATCTTGAGTTTGAGGTTTGCAGGAAGCACCTGGCTTTCCACTCTGGGGGGCACCTCTCCCGGCCCCACCCCAGGGTGGGTGCTTGGGAAGATCGGTAGGAGGGCATACTCACTGCACGCCTCCAACTTTTCCCTCCCACTGGCTGCCTCCAAGTGTCAGGAATGTGCTCTTTCCCTCTCTGCATGTGGACAGGGCAATTATTTTTCCATCTGTCCCCATTATTTCCCTACCCACATTACTGGTGGCAAAGTGGGATCCCTTTACCTCCTCCAACTAGATCGTGCTGAAGGAAGGGAGGATTCACACTCTTCTTGGGAAAAAGAGGGAAGCTTTTTCATGACCACCCTCCACTCCTAGCTCTGACACTGCTGGTTTTAGGGGACAGGACAGCCAGGCCCAGCACATTGTGGACCAAGACTTAATTTCAGGAGTCCTTCCCTTGTGTTAACTTCACTTGTTCTTCTTGTAGTGGTTTATTGTCTCTCCCAGGATATCTTTTTTTTAAACTTGGTCCTGGAGCCCTAAACAAAAATATGCTGGCAAGCCACTCTGCAACAGGCTTTCCCTGGCACCATGGGGATTCTCCCCAGGGAATTTAACTCCCTGAAGTCTCAGCCCAAGGTTGTAAAAATAAAAGAACCTCAGCAAATTCTAAAAATATCAGTGTTTCCTCTCCGCCTCTCTCCATCCTGGCACCTTCCCTGCTTTCCCTGATCTCCGTTGTTTCTTCCTATGTGTAATATATATGTGTACTGCTGCTCAGAAAAGTCTCAAACTGAGACTGTATTGGGCTGACCCAATACTTCTGGACTTTGCCCTGGGAAATAGTTCCCTTTGCCTATCCCTTCCTATCCCCACTCGCCTAGCTCTCTCATTCTCGAGCTCCCAAGATGATTGGGGACCACCCCAAGATTAATTTTCTTGTCAGTGGCTGCTTCTCACACACCCCACATTCTTCCAACCCCAACCTCCCATCTTCCTACCTCCTGGCAAAGCCCAAAGAAGCTCAGGGCATGCAGGGAGGGCTTTGCGATTCCTCGGAGCCCTGCCAGCCTCCTGGGCCCTCCTGTAAGAGATTGGATAAACTGGCCTTTGTTTGAGGCTCGGGTTGGGCTAGGCGGACTTCTGTCCTTTTCTCCCTCTTTTTCCTGGCGGCCACCTCCTTGTGGGACAAGAGCAGCCTGGGGATCCGAGAGAAGCCGCATTCCTGTGGGTGCCAGGCGGCTCCAGTGCTGAGCCACAGGGCCTGAGACACACACACAGAGGAACCCGCAGACCTCGCTGCCCTTGATCTAGCTCTCCTGCCCGCTCTCCCTCCTTCCCGTCGGGGCACCCACCCGGGGAGCCTGTCCACCCACACTCGGATCCACCCAGTGCCCGGCCTCGGGCTGGAGCGTGCTGACCCACACAAAGATGCACACGTACACGCTCCCAAGTGACATAGGCCGGGCCGGCATCTGCCCGCCCCTGCCCGTCCTCTCTCCCGCCTCTTCTCCCACAATCCCAGACGCGCC